GGTCATCAAAAACTAGAAGAGTCTGCACAGCGAAGAGGAGCCTAAGGATACATGATGACTAAATGTAATCCTGGATGGGATCCTGGGAGAGAGAAGGGGGGTTAGGAAAAAATGAGGGAAATCTGAATAAAATATGGACTTTAATAATAATATATTGATATTGTAACAAATGTACCATACTAATGTAAGATGTTAATAACAGGGGAACTGAGTGCAGACTATATGCAAAAGATATAAAAGATGAGAACTTTTTGTACAATCTTCTAAAGTTTTCTGTAAATTTAAAACTGTTCTAAACAATAAAGTCTATCTAAACTTTTTTTTTTTTTTTTAAAGAACATAGGCTCTGGAGTCTGACCACCTGATTAGAATCCTAGTCTCCACTTTACTAGACTATGACTTGAGTTATTTAAATTCTCTGAGAGTCAGTTTCCCTATCTATAAAGTGGAAATACAAAAAGTATCTACCTCACAGAAGTTTTGTGATAAATGACATAATCCATGTGAAGTGCTTAGCACACAGCGTCTGCCAAATAGTAAGCACTATATAGATGGCAGCTATTATTATTATTATATTATTTTGATTCTTTATCGAATATTCAAAGACACACTTAATTTGACTTTATATTTAATTTGCTTTAGGTGATTAATAATAATTTCTAGGATAATTTTATTTCCTTTTTTGAGAGGAAGACAATTGAATACAACCCATTATAGACTACCTGTAAAAGGGTTTCTCTCTCAGCATATCATAAGCCTTGAAACATGTCATGGTGTGAACTGCTCCAAACAATTTAATTCAAATACCACCCTATGGTAATGTAATGAAATGACTTGTTACCAGAGGCTCTGTTACCACATCTGTAAGGTAGTATAAGATAAGTAACATTTTCAGTGTGGGCTCCTCCTTTCATTACAAAGCCATAAAATCATAATCAACCAGAGAATGTAATACCTTGTGATTTATTATTCTTAATAACCATTTGTGATAAAAGTGATTTGAAGAATAAATGTAGAATATGTTTTTTTTTAAACTTTTTTTTTAAGGTGGTGTCTGGGTGGCTCAGTCGTTAAGCGTCTGCCTTCGGCTCAGGTCATGATCCCAGGGTCCTGGGATCGAGCCCCGCACTGGGCTCCCTGCTCCAAGAGGGAAAGCCTGCTTCTCCCTCTCCCACTCCCCCTGCTAGTGTTCCCTCTCTCACTGTGTCTCTCTCTTTCAAATAAAAAAATAAAATCTTTAAAACAAAATAAAACAAAAGAAATACAGATGGCCAACTGACATATGAAGAGACGCTCAATATCACTTATCATCAGGGAAACGCAATTTATTTGACAGAGAGAGACACAGTGAGAGAGGGAACACGAGCAGGGGGAGTGGGAGAGGGAGAAGCAGGCTTCCCACTGAGCAGGGAGCCCGATGCGGGGCTCGATCCCAGCACCCTGGGACCATGACCTGAGCCGAAGGCAGATGCTTAAAGACTGAGCCACCCAGGCGCCCCAATACATAGACTATGTTTAAAGATAAAAAACAATTAAGTGGAGAAGTGAAAGAGTGTGATAAAATAACTGGTATATTAAGATGCTACTAAAGAAGAGAATTTGGCCTAAGCAATGGCTCCCAAACCAGGCTGTGCATCAGATTCACCCTCTGCAAAACACAGAAAGATGCTGGATCCTTAAAGTAGACCTGCTGAATCAACAGCTCTGGGGGTGGGGCCTAGGCATTAGTATCTTTATTTTTTTTAAAGATTATTTATTTATTTATTTGAGAGAGACAGAACCTGAGTGGTGGGGTGTGGGTGGTGAGGAGCAGAGGGAGAGGGAGAAGCAGGCTCCATGCTGGGCAGAGAGCCTGACGCGGGGCTTCATCCCAGGTCATGACCTGAGCCAAAGGCAGACACTTAAACCGACCGAGCCACTCAGGCATCCTGGCATTTGTATCTTTAAAGGATTGCACAGATCATTCTGGTTTGTGAAGGACTAAGCTACCATATGATCTACCTTTGTCAGAGCTGCCTTTGTAAATACAGTCTGATATTCACCATCATCAAGAATCATGATCAGCTTGAGACAGGCTTACCTATTACTCTTGCATTGTTTTCTACATGGAATTTTGGAGACTCTGTATCTTCAGGCTCTCCACTGTCCTGAGCATAAAAGGGGCTGTCTCCCTGCTTCAGTCCTCCAGGACTCTCCCCTTCACCCTCTAAGGTCAAGTTTTCCCTCCCTGCACCTCTTCCTGTCTTTCTGCTTTCACTGTGCCAATAGGGAAACTCAGCATATTTAACATGGGCAGTTGCCTTCAACCGCCCTGAACTGAGTCAGGCTTCCCTTCTGGCTGAGCCAATAATTCATGAAGCAGCTGCTCTGTTCTAGGTCTCCTTTCAGAGCTATGTAGTCTAGCTATGTGCATAGTAAATTATAGCTGGAGAATCAAGGAACAGACATTTTAGATTCTTCTCCTACGAAAGAATATATAAAGGAACAACGGCCAGACTCTATATAAAAACAGAAAAGTGACCCACAACACGCATCAGCCAGTTCAGGATGCCAATCTACTATATACAGTAACTAGTCCAGGAAGTCATATTATCATCTGTAGCAGCTAATCCAGGAAGCCAAACAATAATCCCCGCAGCAATCAGTCCCAAATAGTTAGGACTTAATTAACAACTGCCACTTCCCTGATTTTTGCCCCTGCTTCCAATTCAGGACCATCTGGAAAAAGCCAAGTATGCACCCTACACAATTACATGGAATGCCTCCCTGCTAGTTAGCCTGTCCGTAGCTTCTCCATGCCAACTGCCTCCAATAATGGCAGACCTGAAGCCTTCTTTTTTCCACTATCAAGCTTTTCCACTCCCCACTTGCCTTTGGGTCTCCGTCAAATGCAAGTGATGGTGGCTGGCTCCCTTGCTTTGAATAAATAGTCTTTGCTTGTTCTCATTTGGGTGGTCTTCATTAATTTCCACAACTAGAAAAAAATGGGGCTGCATGTTTGAAATGGCTCACTGAATTGTTCTTTCATGGCTGAAACGAATATACTTTAGAGAGGCTCTGAGATGTAGCAGAAAGAGCAGAGCAGTCAGCACTCGTGAACTTGAGGAAGTCATGGTCTGGAAGAGTGGCTGTGGGTAAGGGAACAGGCAGTGGATCCAAACTGCCATGATTCAAATCCTGGCTCTGCTACTCCTTAGCTGTGTCAATTTGGGCAAGTGTAAATTAATGTGTACTACAATTTCCTCATCTGTTAACACATTGGTGTTGATAATAGCACCTGCCTCACAGGGTAACTGTTAAGTGCTATATAAGACAACCCATGTGAAGTGTGAATGTCTGGATTTCAATGCCGAGAGAGAGAGAGAGAGAGAGAGAGATAGGGAGGGAGCAGCAATACTGGGCTGGACTTCCTGAAAAGCAGCAGTGACATGGGACTGAGGACTAACTGTCCCTCTTAGATGGGACATACGCTCTTCCATTTTCAGTCTTCATTCTGTTTTACACATTTATGATAGCTACCTGGCCCCACTGACCACCTGTGGACTGGAATAAAAAGATTATTCTGTCATGAACATAGTAATTCTAGGAAACCAGTGGGTGCTAAAACTGCCCATGCATCCATTTCAAAAAGATCTGGTGTGGGAAGGATCTTATCCCTCAAATGCATATTCTATGTGTTCCATAAGTCAAAGAGTCAAGTATTCTTTTCTGACATTTTTACATAAGGGTCATACTTTAAAATTACAGAGCTTATAATATATAAACCATTTTCATTTTTTAATTTAAATTCAATTAATTAACATAGAATGTATTATTGGCTTCTGAGGTAGAGGTCAGTGACTCATCAGTCTTATATAACACCCAGTGCTCATTACATCACATTTCCTCCTTAATGCCCATCACCCAGTTACCCCATCCTCCACCTCCCTCCCCTCCAGCAACCCTCAGTTTGTTTCCTATGATTAAGAGTCTCTTTGGTTTGTCTCCCTCTCTGATTTCACCTTTATTTTTTCCTCTTTCCCTATGATCCTCTGTTTTGTTTCTTATATATACCTAGAAGCCCGATGCCACATTCCACAAAGTGTGACCATATTGTTCGTCAACAACAAAACTTTTTTTCTCATAGGTCTTCTGCTATTCTTGCTTAAAAAAAAAAAAGGCGATTTCAGAGAATTAAGGCTAAGCTGTTCTGACATGACTGTGTTTATTTTCAACTAACATTAAATGTGTCATCATGGAAGATCAAATCGAACAAAAGTGCCAGTACTTAACAAAACAAAGATATTTTTTCCTGAATTATTTCTGGTGGTCACACTCAAGACTTCCAAAAGGCAGTTGCTCAACTTCCCAATGACTGCTTAAAATGGTTTTAAAGCCAACTTTCTAGATTGAAATAAAAAGACATCATCTAGCATAAACCTTCATGCCACAAATTGGATAAGCAAGAAATATTTAATTAAGAAAATTGGGAGCCACATTAATGACAGATAATATTTTACTTTTCACCTGAAATTTAACTAAGATGGGCACTTGGAAGTGCACTGAAAACACCAAAGGATAAAATTAAAGGCATAAATGTTTTAATATAAAAATTATATTCTAGGGTGATTTTGCAATAAGAAGACATCACATAGGCGTTCTGATTTAAAATATTCTGAACCAAGTAAGGCACGTACAGTTGATAAACATTAGATGGTTTCATGAGGGTAGCTGCTTTTCCCAAGCCTCCGCTCCCTTAATCTTGCACAAGTACCCAAAGTGTCTTTGAAAGAGAAGGGGGAGCTCATCTTCGGGTCTCAGGAAGTATCTGGGTACCTCCCAGGGCGAGGAATGCACAGCTTCCCCGTCGGAAGCCCCCGGGAGGCCGCTCTGTCTTCTCGGTCCCAGACCCGCAGAGTTGCCCGGCAGCGAGCGCGGCAGGTCGGACCGAGCATGCGCGCCGCGGCCCCGCCGCCCTCCCCCCGCCCGCTTCCGCCGCCGCCTCCGAGGGCCGCACTCACCCAGGCCGCGCCAGCCCAGTTCGCCGTCGCAGCTGTCCAGGACAGAGCAGAGCTCGCCCAGCAGCGCGGGCGGCAGGTCGAACAGGAGCGTGTGCGCCGTGAGCGCGCCGCGGGCCCCACAGCAACGCGCCGCCGCCGTCCAGGCCATGGCTCGGCCGCCGGAGACCAGTCGGAGGAGGGATGCGGAGCCCGGGCCTCGCCGCGCCCGTGAGGTGCGATTACACAACCGCGGAAATCCTGCTTCCACGATGGCGGCCAAGGCGGCCGAGAGCCCCACAAGGGGCGGGCCCCACATGACGCAAAGCGCTGCTCGGCAGCGATGCCCCTGCGGACGCCCGGCCTGGCAGCGGGGTCTCCCTGTCTGCGTGGCCCCTCTCACAGGCTTTACGTTTTGAACAGTTCTTTTCGTTGCTCTGGGTATTGGACGCGACTGGAGAGACAAAGCAGGGAGCGAGAGCTGGACAAAGACCAGGAGGGCAGAACTAACGGAGGGGAGTCTACTACGCCTTCTGCCTGCCCTGGCCTGGGCTGTCTTCTGGCCTGGATGGACAGAACACCTGCCATTACTTCTTTTAAAATGCATTTTGCTTTACCCTGCCAGAAAGCGATGTTTATTGAGGAACAGTTGGAAAACCCAGAAAAACTGAAAGAAAAAAATAATCACTCAGCTGAAGACAACCATTCAAGAGGTTTGGCACCATCTTCCAACTTTTCCTGAAGTTGAACAGATAAATGTGCATATATGAAGGGATTGTTGGGAAAGGAAAAAAGAAAACCAACAACAGGAAAACAAAAGAGAGAACAAAGCAAAGGTTGTGCTCATTTTTCTTCATGAGGTTGCCCATTCTCCATATTGCTACTTAGTTTTACTACATTCTTTTTTCCCTGGGCTTTCTTGACAAAACATTGTTCCACTACTTTTTCCTTCTTCAAAGTGTTTGACAGAATCGTTTGCTTTCAACATGGAGTTTAAATAAAACTGACTTGTTTTTGAAATATTCTATCGTATATGCTGTAATATCCCAACACAGGCATGATACAAATGCTGATAAAAAGAGGAGATGCTTTGAAAGTGGTGAGAAAAACTCAACCTTAATGACTGTAGAGTGGACAGTTGCCATCAACCGAAGAATAGCAACCCTATTTGAAACCTTTCAGATTTGTACTCTTTGGCAATGGTGCCCCTTAGAGACCAACATTTGATGATACACTATCATTTTGTACCCCTACCCCTACCTGAATTTCCAGGTCGTTCTCAGCTAAAGTATACCACAAAATACACTTGAAAATTAATAAAGACAATACTTTTTGGACAAAGGTTTCTATATCCCTTTGTTCAAATAGCTAAAATTTTATTGTCGATCTGAACATGCTTAAGAAGCCCTATACCTCTCAAAGGGACTACCTGAATATACTGAGCAACAGAGGCAGGATACAAGTATTTGACAGCTATTAAGTTGGTGAATTGGTAGAAAAGGGGATCCAAACTTCAACTCTCCTACTAGAGGAACCAGGAATCACTGTCGCTGAGTCAGTCAACATGGCCTGCTTTTCCAGATCTTCTGATTTACAGAGAAGCAAGAATTGTATGTGAAAGCCAGATTACGTGAAATCTATATGGGTTATGTGAAATGTCTTATATTTTCAATGTTGGCATTTAGTATCAGACCATACTCCCTCCCTATTCCTTAAAACTGCCTTTGACTTTTGAATTTTAAACCATCCGGTTGTATCACTCACTGCTCTTCAACTGTCGCTGTCATCCACTGCTCTCCCCCATCTTAATTCTTCCCTCTCGGTTTTAGACTAGCTCCTGCTCACTGCAGTTTTCTCCAGTACTAATCCTACCTTAATCTTTGGTGATTTGACAGATTTGTTGAGCAAATGATGATCTTTCCAATACCCTGTCCTCCCAGTTCTTTGACTCATCCTCTCTGCCAATAATCGTCCCTTCCACCCTATTTCAGCCAGTTGCTCCCATGATCATTCCCTAGAACTTGTCATTATCGATAACCACGCCTTCTGTAATTTCTATTTCATGAATCCACTCTCTAAACACACCTCCTGTCCTTCTAGGGCATTCCCTCTAGTACTCTGACCCCAACAATCCTTCCCCTTCATCAGGATACCAAATCGAAAATCTTGCCACCTCTTCTCTGGCCCCACCCTCTTGATGTCCTTACTTTTCTCTTTATCCATAAAGTCCACAGCCAATTTTTACAGTCCCTTTCTTGCATATGCTTTCCATTCTCTTGCTCCTCTCTGGCTTTGTTGAGCTCTCTTAACAAATCTGCCATCCTGATTAGATGCAATTTTCTAATTTTGGGCTCTGTACCCGTGTACCAGAATGTAGCTGGGGGTGGGGTGGGGAATAAAAACCTGTTGATTGGACTCAATTTAAAATCAAAATTGTGACTTTCATATTGGTCCTTTATACTGCCAGGCTGTTGCACTATGGGCCTTTATCCCATTTACTCTGTTGGTCCCCTTTACAACTGTTTTACACCTTCTCTTTTCTCAACTCCCATTACCCTCTCCTCCATCCTTGCGCTCAGCTGATGATCTTGGGAGTATTTATTAAGAGTACTGATGTATCAGAAAAAAAAACACAAAACGTCCACAGAATCTCAGCATCACCATCTATCTACCTACCAGCATCTTAACAGACATACCTGCCCTCCCTCCTTTTCCATAGGTCAATTGTGTAGGCTCCTATCTAAATCTGATCCCTTCACCTGGGCACTAGATCTGATCTCCTTCCTGCCTCCTACTCAAAGACATCAAGGGCAGTTGTTTTCACTCTCAGCTACATCATCAATTTCTCACTCTTTACCATATCAATTCCATTGGCACACAAATATATTATTTTTCCTACCTTAAAATGAATCAAAAAACAATTTGATGCCATCCCCCTCCTTTGATGCCATAATTACCCCCATTTCTTTGCTCCTTTTCATAGTAGAGTTGAATATTCTCACCGTCTCCCAACTTTTCTCTTGTTATCTTTTCTTAAACCAACTCTAGAGCCATCCCTCTACCTTACTCCACTGAAACGGCTCTCAGAGTCATCTATGTCCACATCATTGCTGAATATAACAGTTTTCAGGTCTCATCTTACTTGACCCATCAGTAGTTTTTGACACAGGTGATCACCCCCTCCTTCTTGGACACTTTCTTTGTCTTCCAAATTCTCTTACATTTTAGCTTACTTCACTGGTCACTCTTCAGCCTCCCTTGCTGTCCCTTCTCTTCTCCCTTAATGTTGGGTTCAGTTCATAGTTCTATGTACACCCATTCCCTTGGTGATCTCAACTAGTTTCGAGGCTTTAAATACCATCCACCTACCAAGGACTGCCAAATGTATATGGTTAGCCCAGACCTTTCCCTTGAACTTCAGGCTCATGTCCAAAATTGAACCCTTGATGCTGAAACTGCCCTTTGACTTTCTTCCCCATCCAGCTCACTCTATCCTTCCAGTTGCTTGAACCAAAAACTATAGAGTCAAGCCTGACTCTTCCATTTCTTCACAACCCGTGTTCAGTCCACCAGCAAACCCTGTCGACTCTATTCAAAATATATTTAGAATCATACTTTTCTCCTCCTCCACTACTGCCACCCCGGTTTGAGCCGCCATCATATCTTGCCTGATTTACTACAGTTGTCTTCTAACTAAAGTAGCTTCCACTGTCGCTTCCTATGGACTTTCCTCAACACTGCAGCCAGATTCATCCTTGTAAATCAAATCTGATTATGTCTCTCATTTGTTTAGAAGCCAACAATGGCTTCTAATTTCAGTCAGAGTAAAAGTCAAACTCTTTGTACAATCTGCATTCGCTCCCCCCTCCCACTCGGCTGTTACCCTCTGATCTTGTTTCCTTGTTCATTCTGCATAACCACACCGCCTCCTTGCTGGTCCTTGAACACACCAGGCAGAGTCCCACATTAAAGCCTTTGCACTTGCTATTCCCTTGCCTGGTATGCTCTTCCCATCTTGCTACAGTCTACATATTTGTAGACTTGCTACATAATTAAAATTGCAGTGGTCCATGCACGCAGACTCAGGCTGGCACATGACTGGAACTGGCAATAATATATGGCTTGGGGGACCAAATCTCATTCAAATTTCTCCTTCTCTCTGAATCTAAATAGGAACGTGCAGCAGCTCTGGTCATCTCTGGAACAATTTTGCAACCACATGGATATAAATACTAGAATGAAATAAGCCTTGGGGATGTCTTGTGAGAGAGAAAACCAGATCCTTCATAATGGCATTAAGCAGCTCTTTTGTACTATACCTGGAGAATGTCCTGCTTGGGGACTTAGAATTGTATCACACAAATTCCTTACTAAGTCAGTTTTTAAACTAGGAATCTTGTAATTTGCAGCCAAATGCATCCTAATGGATACACCAAACAGACATTTGGTGATAGTTCCTGGTTTGTTGATGGCCTATAAAACCATGGGAAGGAAACTATAACCTCTGTCCAAAACTGGAGTTCAATTCTATACAGCTGTATCCCTGGAATGTCAGATGGGCATGGAAACTGCACTGTAGAGAAATAGCTGGGTACTGGGAGAAAATAAGTGTTAGTAGAGAATGGTTCTGGCAGCATGGTTGGAAGCAGTATGAAGTTCTAGATGCGCGTGAGATGGCACTAAAAGTCCATGCAGACCCAGACCTGCGCTGCACCCCACGCACCCACTCCCAGCATACATGCTTCTGGCAAAGACATGGCTGTGGTTAACCCTCAAACTCTTTCACTATGTTTTTTGCCGTGGGACGCTAACTCCACTCCCCTCCCACCCCTGCCCCAAATTTCAGATCCTAGAAAAAGAAAGTTTCCATTCCAGCTGGAGGCAAGAGAGTAATGAACTGCAGAGAACCACAAATGGAGATGCCGAGGGAACGCTGAAGGCTGTGGCACAGATGGCATAATGGCACAGATACACAGTATTATCAGGGACAAAGTCACAGGCATTAAAAGCCTAAGAAATAAAAAATCAGGTGAGTCAGGTAACAGCTCTTTGCATATAGGAAAAACTATCTTGGTGGCAGCTATTTATCCCGCATCCCTAAGGACGGATGCTCAAAGAACAACCAGCTGTGGGACATAGATTTTCTGGTTTGGGAAATAATTTCCAAAACAAAGATCACTAACCTATCCCATCTTTGAGCTTTATCCTATCCCTGAGCCTTAGAAGGTTCTTGGTG